AAAAAAAAAAAAAAAAAAAAAAAAAACACCAAAAAAACAACCTACATTTTTGTCCTTGTAGCAGACCTTTTTTTTTTTTTTTCTCTCGAGGCTGTAAACCCAACATTTCTTTTCTCAAAACAGTGCAAAATACTTCTGTTTGATACTGTGACATTGCCTGCTACAGCAACACCAAGTTTAAAAAGACAAAAAAAGAGCAACGCTTTTCCTCCAGTTTTAATATATTTGATAGATATCTCTAAATGTTTCAAAAGAGGGAAATATTTAATACAAAATGATTTTACAACTGGAGAGGTCAGGGTTCAAAACTGGTGGATGCATTTGGTCATTATCCACATCCTAAGCTACCAAATGATATTTTCCTTTCTGCTGTGTGGTACTCTTTTCTTCCACACAGCAAATGCGGTAGGAGCCCTTTGCCTGAGGTGACTAAAAGCTGATAGTTGTGTCTCACTTGCCTGTATCTGTCTTTCATTTCAGAAGTTGCTAATTTTAACCAAAAAGGACACGAGGGACATATTTCTATACATTAGCCTAGTGTTCACGGAAGGAAGTGCATGCCACACAAGTAAGCAGACATTTGGTACAATTAACAGGTTGCTGGCTACCCGCATGTCGGTATTTGCAGGATTAGATCTGAATTCCTTGGGACACTGTTGTATTCATGTTTAACAATGTTGGTTTTGTACAGTTTGCACTGCACTGTACATTGTTCTGAACACCTTGTGCTAGATGCCTACCAGCAGGACTGGAACTTCTTAGTCCTGGGGCAGTGTGCATTTTAAAGAATAATACTTTGCTCAGCGTGCTTTGTGGGAGTTACACAGACTGCCTAACATGAAGGATGACATTGTGACTAGTTTAAACATGGTGAAATAACAAAGCAACTTCTATAAAGCAGCCCGGCCTGGTGCTGGCATTAAACAGGGTTACCCACCATAAAACCCAGGCACATTTCATGGGAATACCTTTACTAGTTGCTCTAATGGTTACAAATATGATTTATACTATTTGTTGTTGAATTTGGAAGAAATAAAAAATTATTTTCATTTGCCAATAGATAGGGAGCAGTTTAAGAGGCCTTTTTGAGGTGCAATGAAATTGCATCTACTACAGAAATGTCAAGAGGTCCTTCACTATCTACCAGGACTTGGACATTACTAATCTCATGGAAAAACTTTTTTACTAATAAATGGTTAATAACTAACTGAAAAAAATTACAGTTTTCTTAGAGAATAAAAAAAGTCTCCAGCCTCGAAGGACTGCACTATCTATTTTGTAATTCAAGTGAGAAAAGCTTCCCTGATTTTTGAGGTAAATGCTAAAATTCAGAGCTGTTACATTAAACATATGTAACAGGATTGCCTTTTGAACATAGGAGGAATCCAGGCAGAGAATCCCACAGGAGTCCAGTAATTTCATCTATACTGCACTGCAGGACTTGAAGGGTATGCTTCACACATTATGAAAAGTGAAAGGATTTTTATTTCTCTACAGTAAAACCACAATCAAATGGAAAATGGCTGCTATGACTTTAAGCCTGACTATTAAAAGATTATAGTAGAGTGATATGTTTTCCAGGATGATGACTTTTTTCTCATATTTGTTCTGTCTGATCTTACTGTTGCTGGCATAGATTTTTTTTAAGTTAGCTGCTTATTGCACAGAACAGTAACAGGCTCAGCACTTCCCAAACACAAGGCATTTTTCAGCAGGTCTGAAGTTACCTTGACATTGCAGCTGGAAACCTTCACCTCAGTGAGTTTTTCTATCGCTTTTCCGGATGTTAACTCTGCCCAAACCACAGTCTGTCATTATGATCGCTGGGATCCTAGTCTGGGTGGAAAATGGGTTAGCAGTGTGAAATAAAAACACCAAAGTGCAGAGACCTTTGAAATTCATCAGTTTTAATGAATTACTTAAAAGTGGTCTCAAGAAGAGTTTTTAAAAATCTGCTTGCATCAAAGCAATGTGGTAGCTAATCTTGCGATGGCTTGCTCAGGAATGCATGGTTAATGCATGGTTTATTATTAAAGTAATCTTTTAAGATTTTATTGGAATGTGCTTCCACAGTGGTGTCGCTGCCTTTGTGGGTTTTACTATGTGTGTGTCTTCTTGTCCATAATTAAACTTTTCACTGACAGACCTAGGACTTTTTTTCCTTAAACCTCCCACTTTGAATGCTGGAATTTCATTTGAACTTTAAATACTGCCTTGGAATTTGCCATAAGGTAAACTGTCTGTTCTTGTACACTACCCTGCACTGCTACAGATGTTCCAGATACACAATAAGTGACTGAATTTAAGAGGACTTGCAAATTTTGTGTCCTAGTGTTAAAAAAAGGCTGACAGGAATGAAGTAGTTGTTCAGATGCTCAGGGTGTCCCTATGGAATTCTTACTTTGGAAGGTATGTGAATAAAAATTAATGGAAAACTGGCCTACACTGAAAAGTACATTTTTAGTGAAGCTTCACTGCTGTCTACTGGAGAAGACAAAGTATGTCAAAGGAAACATGAAGGAAGAATTTGTACTTCAGCCTTTGGACTTCTCAGCCAAGTTTCTCATGTGACTTGGACTTGCTGACCATTTATTTTTATAAATTCAGTTAAAGTCCACAGAATATCTGAAGCAAAATGTATCCTTGCTATTTTAAAATCTTAAATTACAATCTATAGTTCATTTTAGTATAATTCTAGGCATAATTCTGGGAAATGCAGTCCACATGTTAAAAGTCTCAATACCCCAATGCTGGAACATCAATAGACCTGAAACTTGCCTTGGAAATAGTTTCTCCTGGAATCAAGACTAGGCTTGAATAATTATTTCACCAAAGGCTTGCTTGTTGAGGCCCAAATTTGGGCATCTCAGGCTTAGACTGCCATGGGGCTTTAAACTGGCAATATATTCAGCCATTTAGAAGTGATTGAGTAGAAGTGTAAAAGCTGTTGACCCCTAGCTGAGGTACAGCAGGTCTCTTGGTCTGTGCCTTAACCAGCTGCAATGCAAGGTAAACCCAATTATTTTAGATTGACTTCAGTGGTATTTGCTAACAATTAAAGCTAACCTCTCTCTCAGCTGATGACTGAGAAAGGATGACTTCCCATAGTGCTTAACCCTCTGCCACACTTCAGGCAGGGGTACCTCAGGAAGATAAGGTGATTTCTAAGACTAGAAGCTCATGGCTTGCTATCACAGTGCTGTGGCTCTCTAGTCCTGAGGTTC